ATTTATTTCAGCACAAAAAATAGAGTTCTCCGGCAAAAAAAAAAAAAAAAGAAAAGGTCACAGACAGTTTGTGATCACCTCAACTATACGCATCACGTGAGGTTGAGAAGAAGCCGTCTGGGTAGAAATCACCCCAATTGTCGATGTTGGATTTGCTTTCTGCGGCGGGTCACGCCGCTGAGAGTAAAAACGCACATCTGTTCAAAGAAATAAAACTCTCTCAAAGCATATCCCTGATGAAGTGGTGCATGACATTGGACTTCAGCTAAACTTGCCAATGGTAACATCTTATACAAGCAACCTCTAGTTTCATTTTGCAAATATTTGGGAAGACAGATGCCAAACTTCACTTGAAGATTCTGTTATATCATATACTGAATACGTTGTAAGAAAAGGGCCCGTATAACGTAAGGCTGGGCAATCGATCTGTTTTACTACCGATTGGTTGATTAATGCTTTACTCGTGATTACTGTTTGAACCGGCTAATTGGTAAAATTCGGATTAACAAAAGGAAGTAAAACTTAAAACGCTTTCACCACACAGACGTGGACGAGTACACCTGTAGGAAGGGAAAACTTTCGGTAGAATTTCAACTAAAGTGAACGGGGGGGGGGGGGGGGGGGGGTGGAGAGATTTGCAACTTCAGGCAACTGCAGAACGTTAAACGTGTCACGGCCACTTCAATGCCGCGCGAGTGTCTGTTTAGCACCGCACTATTGTGACTGTTGTCAACAATCAAAGGAGTTCGCTATTGACGGAGAATATCAACGAACTTCTACCATATGCAGCTGAAATTCGAGAAACAAAATAAACTTTTTAAGAATATTTAGCGTGTAAAAGATCAAGACCGATTAATCAATTAATTAAGCATGGTGGCGATTAATCCGATTAAAAATCTTAATCTACGATTATCCCTGCCAATAGTTCCCTAGTCAGCGTGAGGTGAACTATCAAAATATCTCTCAAAGCCTCAATTTATTTAGACAAAAGGACTGGAAGAAGAAACATTAATTTTTTTTTTAATTATATGAGTCGTTACAAGGGGTTTCCCAGTCTGGCGATGTTCACAAAAAGTTAGTGTCCCCGAAAATTAACCACCGAACATTAAGCCTGTGACAATCTGCCCTCCGCGATCTAGCACAGTGTTAAGCAGGTTGTCGACTCGCTTTTTTACCATACATTCATGCATTAGTCTCTTCATTAGATTATTTGCATTGAAACTAGTGCCAGTGGATCCGGCTGGAAACAATGGGAATCCTTCTCTTGCATCAGTTCATTCATTTCTCTGCCGAACCTGGCCAAACGACGAACATGACCATGCGAAAGGGTTCGTAAAAACGTTCGCAATTTATGCTCGAATTCACTTCGTAGTAAAAAGTAGGTTGTTTTGTGCCGGACTTCGATGGGCACCTTCAGGGCGCCTACCGTCGGGGAGCGGGGGAGCAATCGTGGATGAAGGTGCCGTTGCACTTCTTGTAATCGACTTGGAGGCTCATGTTGAATCAGACGTGTACGTAACGCGTTATTTTTAACGATTTTTTTTTGGTAACGAGTAGGGCTGGGTGCTTCATTGATTGACCTACCGATTAATCGAATAATGCTTTAATCGCGATTAATTTTTTGAACCGCTTAATCGGATAAATTTTGGCTAACAAAAAAATGAAAGACGTTTACACATCTTTGTAATGCGAAACTAGAGCGCAGCTCTCTCGAGGAGGAAGGGAGGGTACAAATGGGAGGGTATGCCCCTCCTCCTCCATATACCCTCCCCTTCCTCTCCTCCCACTCTTACACTGGTCCTCCTCTGCTCCTCTTCCCTTCTGCTTCCCCTTCTTCCCTCCTCCTCCTCTTTCTTCACTCCTCCTCTCCTTCGGCCGCTGAATTTGTTCATCGGTGACGTGACACGAAGTCATGACGTCATTTTTTTCTGTTAAATTTAGCGGGGAAACTGAATTGGTGTTGAGGTCACGTGACGTCACTTGGCTAAATTTAGCGGGAAAATCTACCCCCTAACTTCAGCGGGAAAACGTCCCATAATGCAACGCGCGCAGTTACGCGGACGCCGATGGCGACGCCGCTACACCCGGAAACGGGTGGAGCTGCTCTTTAGAGAAAGTATAAATTCGACGTTTCCAACTCATTGAATACGTACCCCCCCCTTTTTTTTTGGGGGGGGGGGGGGGGGGGGGTGAGGGGGGGGGGGAATTGATCACTTTCCGGCAATGCTCGTCATTCAGGGAATTGGAAAGCCACTTCGCGGAGATTCACGATGCTGTGTCTATGCAGGCGCATAATCATCGCTCGCTCCCAGAGCCTCTCTAGCTAGCGCCTCAAATCATTCGAACACGATCCGAGGTTTCCGAAGACGCCGTTTGAGCTGGCGATGCGGTCAGGGTACCTAGCCTAGTTTATGGAAACCGTCCTCCCGTCGCTGACAAGAACCCTTCGGGGCTCTGCTGGCCGTGCGGAGTCACGTGTCTGGGAACTCTCGTCCTCGGGTTAGGAGAAGATCTGAGGCCACCAACCTCCGTGGGAAAGATATATCTCCGTTCGTGGTGGAAAAGTGAGGTTCGACACGTACCGCATTATAAAGACAAATTATCAAAAACAAAACACCGTCTCGCGAAATGCGACCGCCCCTAACGTAGCTTTTAAAGTGGTCCAATGTTACAGTACCTACAGCTTGTGTACTACAATAGAGAGACATATATCTGTATCACAAAATTAGGCGGAAACTATACACAGTAGTGCACCAGCACAGCCGCCAGCGTGCAAAAACCTAAGATCCACCAAACTGAAGCCACCTTATGATGGCAAGTACGTCAACGCCCTCTATCCTCCGGTAAAGTAACTATTCTGAGATTAAAAAAAACTCCACTATAATCTTTTGCACACTAAGTTTGAGCGCAGCCGACAACGATGCGATCCGATAGAGCCAATCAAGCGCGTCCTTGTCTTTGTGCCTTTCGTCGGCTACACCGATTCACTCGCAGTTAATGCGCAGTAATCCTGCGTTTATTTGTGCGTGACTGATTCGGCGGGGGACAGCAAGCGTACAAACACGACGAGCGCCGTGACGACGCATTCTTGGCGCTACTTGATCGACTCCATCGGGTCGCATCGTTGTCGGCTGCGCTTGCGGACCTGGTGTGAAACAGATCGTTTTATTGCTCTTTTTGGCGCTTCCTTTTCCCCCACTCGCCTGGAAAAGAAATAGAAGGAAAGAAAGCTCGAAGCATTCGAGGGAGAGGAGACGTCTTCTGAGAGCATATGCCGGCTTCGCCAAGAACGGCCTCCATGTGTCTGAGAGTTCTAGCCCAAAGAGGGCGCCCATGTTTCGTCATCCATCAAGCTGTCCGTTTGGGAAGTGGATGCTTCGCTTTGTTCGTCTCTTTCCACGTGGTGACTTTTAGTAGCCTTTTTTGTTAAAATCCTGGCAAACGGTTTTTTTCTTGCTAATGCTTTTGTTTTTTCATATTTTCATTTTTTCGTCGTCGAGTTTTGGTCTTCTTGAGAACGACGTTTTTTGAGGCCCTGGTCGTTTTCCTTGTTTACGAAAATAGTAGCACTCTAGCGAGGGCTCCCTCACATTTGTGCGTTCCTTTACCAGAATCGTAATGCTTTTTCTTGTATAATGTGTACTACATAACAGTGTCAAGGGAGACATTAACAAACCTGACCAGTGTCTATTCGTACATTTGCAACCAATGTGCATGCAAAGCAGTGATGGGCCCAAACCTATCGCCTGTGCAAGACTGCCCAAACGCAAAGCGATTCTCGATGGCTCAACAATCGCCTATCACCTCGCAAGCAGAGCTATTCGCTCAAAGCTGAGTAGTCAGTGCAGTGTGGAACATGAACGGCTGGACGTGTGCGGTAGCCACTAAGATAGCCCTAGAAGCACCGAAAATAGGAATCGCGAGAAAACCTTTAGTAAGGGGGCACATATTATATTCTGGGTTTGCCTAAAGTGACGCAAAAGGGGAAACATGTCAAGCAAGGCAAGGCCGAAACTCGTTAAGGACGTTGCGATGTAAGGAAAATTCCCCTTTTGACAAGACAAAGGTTAAGAAAATTAATACACGAACTTTTGTGTTTCCCGGCAACAAATATGTTGTTGTTATATGCATGTTGTCTGGAAACAGCTACACCAAGAGACATTTCCATTTCGAGAGAGTGTGATCAATTTGTGAAGCCAAGAACATCAATAACCATCAGATAGCAAAGCAATATTAAAATCACTGACAGGACTGCGGAAAATGATTTATCATGTTCCCTAACACTCACCTTTACCGTCAAGTAGGGTAGCCATCATCGAGGGAACACGCATCTATCAATGTGACGAAATTGTATACGTTTTATGGTTTGCTTTCCTAGGTAATGTTAAAATGAAGTCTGCCGTTGTATCAACGAAAAAAAAAAAGATATATATATATAAAAATATGAACATTATGAAATTTATAGAAGCCTTAAAACCAATGTTTCGGTCGACGATAAGATCGCCGCCGATATAAAAATCAAATTCCAGGTACGAAGATCACGGCTCGTATCCCTGTGTATGTTGACCTCCATAGCGTCACTCATTCCGAGATATCGGAAGTGGTAGGAGCCAATGCAGATTTTTCGTTGGTTTTCTTTCTCTCCTGTTATCCGCTGTACAGTAATACGGGTCACAATGGAAGGTGTTCATCGTTGTAGCTTACATTAGAGAAAATTGTTACCTACCTGCCTCCACATGCCCCAATACCCACACAACCAGTTATCCAGGAGGGAGAATAGGCATGGGAGGAGGGTTGTGAGGTTTTTGCTCTTCTATCAAACCGATCACTTCCAAGGACTGTCACACATTTTCCACAGTGCTATTACTTTTCACCATACCGAAAAAACGTTCTGAGCTGTGCGCAGTGCGTCCATTTCACGTCTAGACGGAGTGAACATGTCTCGTGTTATTTCGGAGCCTGCGTAAACTCGGCTCCGATAGCCCGGAGAAGCAACGGGACACTTTAAAACGGAAACCACAGGATTGAATAGATTCTTTATGTACAATCTCCTGGAAACAATGAAAAGAAACAAAAAAATAAACACGAACGCTCTGAACCTAATCGTTAGACGAGATGAGCGTGCAACGACGCAGTAGTCTTTCCTCTCCTCCGGTGGGCGTAATCTCTCTAAAACTCAAATAAATAGGAACCAAGGATGAGATGTCAAACCGTCCTACGTCGCGCAGACTACGTATGACACAGATGATGAGGGGCGGCAAGTCCTTCCATCTTGCACATCGGGGTGATCCGCACAACTTGGGCGTGTCACGGGGGTTGGAGGGGAGGGATCGCAAGAGGGAAAGAAGGGGCATGACTCGAGTGTGTTCCGTCGCGGTTGATGATGTTGGCTCCTGGTTCTAGACAGTCGCTGACCGTTCCTTGGGAGCGGGCACTGCCCACGGAGTGTCGCCAGTGCAGGATTGCAGCCACTCCCGATGCCGCAATTCCAGTCCAGAAGGCCGTAAACCGTTGGGTGGCCATCGCCGGGCTCTGCGCTGTTGTTTCTTCAGAACCAGTACAGGTCCTTCCCGGCGTCTTGTACTTGGGTGTCGAGACCTGCGAGTTTTGGACAAGTTGGGTTTTTGAGAGCTTCTCGTACCGGTCAGAAGAGAATTAAGGAGCTACCATACTTTTTTTTTTCTTTTCCAGGATAAACCGGATTTATAACCGAATTAGTGATGTGCACCAAATGTCCGGTATCAAAGGCCTCACTGATTTAGTTAGCTTTCTAAGTTTACATTGACTTCTTCGCCGGTTTATTTGATAATTTATTTATATTTTATAAATTTGAGTTACTGACCATATTAGCACTAGGTGTTCCAAGGGCGTGTATCCCGCGATTTAACAAACATGGTAAACCGCAACATTAAAAATGCCGTTAATTTCAGCTCCACACAAATAATCAGCGTGAGGTTAGGCGCCAGTTTGGATGCTGTTATTGGACTAAAATATTGCGATAGCTACTAGCCACAGCACAAAGAGAAATGCAGCTGTTTACAACCTACATCTATATAGCGAGACGCCATGAGAGATTAGAGAGTTTTAGGGAACCGTTTTTGTACATCCTTAGACGGTACGGCGGGCCCTCCTTTAAGAACTCCGTATTTGCGAGTCCCTGAAATTGTCCCTAAAACTCTCTATTGTCCATTTTGTATAGACGATGTCTCAAGGCGTCTTTCTATGCAGTAACGAAGGACACACAACTCACAAACAGACAAAATAAGGAATATTGTCTATTATAAAAAAAATGAATGAGGTCCAGTAGGTATTGAATAAGGTTTAATACGTAATGTTAGTATTGTGTTTGTTATAAAGATGGTGAAGTCCCACACCACGGATGAGAACAGATCCATACAGGCGGAAAGAGACGTAACAGCATTCCAGCTTTGTAATGGCTCTTAACATGTCCTATGATGGCGCTCCTTATATTTTATTCGCTCAAGCACTCTAAAAGGAGTGTGGCTTTATATTCCAGCAAAACACGATGATAGCCAATAAACGCGAACAACTAAAGAATTTCGTGAAGTAGTGACAAAGCTCAAAATACAGTTTTCCCCGAAAATGGATGAGTTCAAGGACAATGAGCGAGTGAAACGTCACGAGCATTGTCCAACTATCCACATCTTAGTTTTCGGGCATAATCGAATTTTGAACTTGTCATTCGCTATTTTCGTTTCGATGCTCGCAGTGATTGGCAACAAACGCGTTCTGCGGGAATGATTATAGAATGTAGGGCTCGTGACTGACTGTCTTACGAAGTCATTTTCTGCTCAATCCAAAAACTGCACGAGTACGTCTCCTATCGCCAGTTTCATTCATCGCTGAATATATCCACGGCGACAGCAATACAAACCTTCAGATGTCTGCTACGATGTAATCAAAACATTAATGACTGTTTCCTTTTTTTTTTTTACGCGAATATCCGATCGCTTGAGGTAAGATAAGTCGGAAACGCGTCACAAATTCGATCTTACGCTGCGAGTTGATAGGGTCAATCAAATAATGTAAAAAGCGCAACGTTGTGGTCGTCCTTGTGTTTCTCTACGCGTTCTATCGTCGTTAAACCAAACATATACCGAAAGGGCCTAGTGGGCCGAACTGTTTCATGCGTGCTTGCTGTTGTATGTGTTCGTGCCTCTGACTGTAGTCGGACTTATGATGAAACGAAGTATAACGAGGAAAACCTCGCTTCTAACTTTGCATGAACTATCGATGAAAAAGAAACGCGTGAACACTTGATGACTGTACGGACGGTACGATGCCGCAAGACTTATATGAAACACCAGCGGGTGGTTTATATAACACATGGCCTACTGCATGCCTTCACTGACCACGAGCACAGAAGCGTCACACCCAAAGAATGGGAAGAAAAGACCAGCTAATTTGTTTAATGTATATTTGACGCATATCTGTACACTAACTTAGGAGTTGCCGCTAAATTTAGAGGGGGAATCACGTCTTATACTTTTGCGTGACACCTCTCGTGTGACGTTTTGCTTTGTTTTCCTAATTATTATTCCTCAAAAACAATCTGCACAGAAAGTAAAGAAATAAAGCAAGGGCCGGAACAGACATGACTGTGAGCCCGACGTGCCCTGCCCTTCGCCTCCAGCCTACGACCCGCCCGGCGGCTTGAGCCCGGCCTAGCAGCACAGCCGTATATGCAACGACTGCAGCGCGTAGCAAGCACACGCATAAAGCGGCGGCAGCTCCGGCGGCGGCGTCAAGCAGCGCTCGATCGATGGCCGACAGAGCCGGTGCTCGACTATTGGAGCCCGCCGGCCCTGACGGCTGGCCCCCGATCTGCCGAGCGCGGGATTCGATCAGGCGCTGTCGCTGCCCACCCCTCGGAGCCCCTTTCTCTCTGCTCCCTCAGGGTTCGGACGCCGGTTCAGCCTCCTTCGATGGAATGCAGAAGCGGAAGGGGGAGAGAGGACGTTATTGCCTGCAGCGGTCCTCGCCCCAGCGTCCTGCTGCTGGCTCGGACATTGCGGGACGCTGCACTCCGGCGGGTCGAACGGGCCTCGCTTTTCTGCCCGATATGGAAACGGACTGAAGATGTCTACGGGGAGGAGGGAGTGGTGGGAGCGCTCTTGATAGCTCGGTGGCGCTGTTATTGAGGGAATGCCGCTTCGGGATGCGCGCGGTTGGATCGCTGTAGGCGTGATCTGTTGGCATTGATGAATTGGCGACTACGTATGCAGTGGGGAGTTTTTTTACTTTTATTTTGCGACGGCAGCGGAAGATATTTGCAGTTCCTTCTTCTGGCACGGTAGTGGACGAGCCGGTTCATTTTTGACATGGAATAATTCTCAAGTCAGGTAATGTCAGGATGAAGGCGACGGTAGCTTGCCTTAGATCTTACCTCCGAATATATCTACAAAAGCACTGACCAGTGAATAAAGGCCGTTAGTTTAATGATTGCACCAAACGCCAGATAGCATCACAAACGGTCGTAGGCCATGTTTTTAATATAGATGTAAAAGCGAAGGGTGTTCTAGAATACCTATAATCACAGCTTCATTAATCGTATACCGACGTGTAATATCCCGACAATTTCTCAATGCATAAATTGTCAATTAAAACTCTCAAAATGATCGTGCGTTGGTTATTGCATAAAAGGCCCGAAGACGTTATGCCCAAACGAGCATCTGTCCTGGTTTCGTCGTACTTTTTTTCCCTTCTTGTTTAGCTTCTAAACAGCACGGGCATAAGCCTTTTTCACAATACGATGACCGCTTGCAGGTGGAGGTGATTGAAGACCACTGACAACTGTGAACGTCAGAGCCTTTGCTATTGTGATCAAGCGCTTCGCGTAACTGGCTATGCCGGGTGTTTTCTAGACGGCACAAGCGCCGCGCTCGATTTTTTGCACGAAATGGCGTTGGCCTCGACGTTCCCGCAGTCGACACCTACGAAAGACTTGCAAGACACGCGGACAGCGAATGAGTGGCGGCGGGAACTATAACAGTCCCACGCTGTAAAGTATACTTCATTCGAACACCCGGGGAACATGCCCAATTAGACCTTTAACTTAGCCCCAATTGGCTGCTTTTGTTTTTATCATGTTGCGCCGGTAATATCGCAATGCAAAGGGTCGTCGTATTCAATTTAAGTGGTACCTTAAGTTTAATATTTGTATCTTAACGGACAGAAACATTTGTGCTGTATATTCCGATAGTTCTCTTTTGTAGACGTTTCACGAAATTTATTCGCGTACCATCAGAACAACAATGAAAAAAAAAAAAAGAGTGTCCAGGTAATATTTGTTTTGTCTTTTGAACGGGGATGGACGGAATCAAGAACAGGTTGCTCTGCTCTTCCCCAAACACGTGGCAATATGGCGTCAAACGCTATTTAGGAGAGAGGAAAAAAAATCGAGAAAAAGGCGGTTTATTGATTTTGTATTTCATCCTCCTTTGTTTTTTCAAGTTTTCAGCTCATTATAATAGCCGCTACTCTAAAACCGAGGCGATTAGAAACGAGACGGAAGTCCTCGGTACCGAATGAGCTTCTGGAATCATCCTAAAAGGCTTAGTCGTCCCGCCGCCCGAGGTCGTTGTGGATGCCGAGGTTTGCGAAAACTCGTCCGTCAGTGAGTCACCTCACCCCGGTGCGAAAAAGGCGCTCGTACCCAGCCGCCTGTAAGGTATATCCGTTACCGCGCCCAACCGGGCGCGGTGTCTAAACCCCGACCCTCTCGTTCCCCGGCCATCCACTCCCCGTGTCGACGCGGCTCCAGCCAATCAGGAAGGAGGAATGCGGCGTCCCCCAAACATTAATTACTTCCGCCAATCGCGCGGCGTCATCATTTCAGGCCGGGTTTAACGCGTACCTTCTAGTTTCGCCAAGAGCCACGGGGAAAAGGCGTGGCGCTGCGACGCGGGAATGGGGATCGCGCTTCAAGCGCCATGCGGCGGCTAAAACCCAAACTGAGTTTAATTGAGGCTGACGCTCGCTGACGCCGGGAAGAGAATTAGGCACCCGGAGCGGCCGTCCTCGCACGCGGTTCCTTATGCCCTCCTTTAGCCATCAGGTGGTGAATTAAAGCCAGGGATGCCGTGCGGCGCCGAAGTGGAACGGACCACGTAGCTGTCTACTCACGACGCTTGCGTGGGCTGCGTCGCATTAATTTGTAGGCAGAAAGAACCAACTATGCCTTATTATTACTATTTCTATTATCATTATTTGTTTACTAGAATATTACCCATAATGCTATTCTTGTATGAGCTAAGCGCACGTGACGAACCTGCTAAGGGTAATTAATTATTAATCGTCTGTCCAGACCAGTTTATCTATATACAAGAATCCAATGGCTAGAAAGCTCTTGTAAGAAAAACAACAACAACGCTGCTCTAAATAAAATACGCGCATTAATGTGAAGAATGTTCTCATCACAGAAAAGTGAAGCTAGACAAGCATATATACAAAGGCTGAAAAAGAAAGGTGGAAAGTTAATAAATTGTTATGGTTGCGCTTTCTGAAGACTGATGACACTCTCTGCTGAAGTCGGTAACAGGGGGAGAGATTATTTGGAACAGTAAAGTTGGGTCGAT